ATGACTAGTTGCCTTCCCTCTAGTCTTACACTGCTAAATTAGGGACGGCTAGCGCAGATAGCCCTCGTGTAGCTTTGCGCGAAATTCCAAAACAAACACAATGAGGTTTGACGTTCCTATTTTATAATTAGAGAAATCACGCCGCGAACGTGTTAAATAACAATTTATCTCAGCCTTTATTTGTTTAGCTCTCAGCTGAATGTTTTTTTTTTCATAATATAATGTTATATTATTATATAAGTATGGTATATCATTTCATAATATTACTTATTTACCGAACACTTATTTTTATTAATTTCTATATTGTAAGGATTGTTTGTTTGTTGTTAAGCACAAAGCTACACAATTGAATTTCTGTGGGTATCGAAACTAGATTTTTAACGTTATAAGTCCTCAATCTTGGCCACCATCGACGTATATTCAAGATATTTATAACTGAAATACTATGATTTTAATTAATACAACTAAAGTTGCTTATTATCTAATGCGCTTTCTAACCACGAGATGACGCTACCGTCAACATTAAACATGGTGGTGAGTAATTCTCGCTTACTTGGTTTTGCAGCTTTTACTGGTGTAGCGTGTGTTACTGGTAGTTTATATTGTCAATATAAGATTCGGGAAGGATTGAAAAAGGGAGACTACTATAAAAAATCTTTAGATATTCTCAAGCAACACAATGCTGCCATGCAACTTTTGGGACCGCCTATCAAGCAAGGAAATCTGGACCTTGGAGATACTGTTAATAACATGGTAGACGGCTATCGAGCTAAGTTAGCTGTTCCTGTTCTAGGGCAGAAGCAAAAAGGAAAATTATTCTTGTGGGCAGAGCGAGAAAAACCTGGAGATTCGTGGAATGTACAGAAATTAGAATTATCACTCGAAAACTCTGAGTTTGATGGTCGAAGACTTGTAGTGTATAAAAGTGAAAATAATGAAAAAAATTAAATTGTAAAAGACTTATTTCTCAGTTATTGACTCGTAAGTTGTAGTTATACCAAGTTATAGAGTTAGAGTTGCGAATATAGTCTTGACACAAGCCTTTACATAAAACATTGAACCAATGGCTTTAAGCCTAACCTAATACTACTATTATTAATAGTAACAGTACTACTAATACTAATAGCAGAATTTTCATCTTGAAAGTTGAATGTAGTACTTAAATGGTTACAATGTTTAGTTTACCAACAGTATAAGGGATAGTTTGATTTTTCTACTCTGAACTTAATCTACAGAGTTGTTCTAATGGCTTAAGTGAGGTACCAGTTGACAAGAAAGTAACTTAAATAATAATATTTTATTTTCATGTACGGTGGTTGACTTGAAGAAACAACAATGACGGAAGGACTTTAATAATTTAATTTTCATGTCTATTAATAAGATGTATAAAAAAATCTGTTTCAAACATGAAATTGAATCAATATTTCTGTAGTGTTAATTTGTTTCATTGTTAGTTATTGGTTTTGTTTTAGTGATTTTCTTTAATATTTTTACAATAAAAATGTTAGAGCAACATGGGGTAAACTACAGTATGGTAGGTCTTATAATAGGAATAGGACAGGTACACAAAACATGCAATACAAACTATTTACACCTTCAACAACTAAATAATAAATCTTCAAAAGTATTTAAGAGACACCTTTAAGTGATAAACGAACCACATAAAAAATTACAAGTTATAGAACCACTTGAGAAAGTCAGCAGAGCAGATACAAAAAATTCACAAAACCACAAATTTCTCAATCTCACTGACTGACATTACTGAACGCTTCTAGCTGTGTAACAAACAGAATAACCATAGTTATAAGTGGACCAAATAGAACAATAGCACAGGGACCATATGCCAACATGAAGTAGTAATTAATTTAATTAATTAATTTATCAACCATTAGTATATTCACACAAACACAACTCATGCTACATCACCTACATGATAGTGTACACTGTAGAGTGTATGCCATCACATGCACACCACATACACCATTATCTGCACATACTATAATATTATGGTGCACACCCACACTGATTATGTACGAACAGGATATCAACACGAATCAATGATGCATAAGAACATGTCACGTATGAAAAAAGTGTATGAACAAGTGGAAAAAAACGTTTTTAAAAAAATTGAAAGTGTAGGAATGGGCATGGTGTAATAAAACTTCCTCTGTATATCCTTACAAAGGGGACATGTCCAACATCCATTTCATGCCTACTTCGTTCGTCTGTGTTCATGATATTATACAACTTATGGGTACATACAAAAGTGTGTCTATAATTCTTCTACTTTTGTAACGAATCCATGACGTCAATACACAGAAACCTCTTAGGATTTTTTATCTTTGTATTTTAATCCACCTATATAGCTAATGTACGAAATTCTGTTACCTTCTCATGCAATTGCAAAAGGAGAGACAAGTTGTAAAGAAAAAAGAAAAGTTATGGGTCCACACAAATATCTGATTCTTCTGGTGTCACATAAACAGACTTTACAGTACATGAATTGCTACCAATAATTCGATTCACAGAAACCTCTAGTCATTGTACAATAAGCATAAATAAGTTTAATCCACCTGGCATATTTTATACAGAATGTACAGAGTAAGTTTTATTATACCATGCCCATTCCTACCTTGTTTCCTCACTTTTTGGTGCAAGGCTGTTACAGTAGACAGTATCATGCTTGGTATATGTAAACTTGTTTTAAATGAATACTGTATAAGTAGATTATTTCAGATAAATGTGGTGTTCCTTTTAGTTTGGTGGATGACCTCATAGAGTGGAATAACATTTGTCATGCTACTTATAGTCATGTTCTAAATGTAACATGGAAGGGATTGTTAACTAAATTCGTTCAGTACAGGACTAGTGATTAGCATGTCAGGCTGCTTACTGGAAGGTTCAAGCTGTGATATGTTGTTGAACATGCTCCTCACTTTCAGCTGTGAGAGGGAATTGTACCTCTGAAGGTCAGTCCTGCTGACTGGTTGCCCCCCTTTGTTCAGTATTTATAAATCGGAGATGATGGTGCCTGACCCCCAGGGGTTCCTGACCTGAGCATTCAGCCCATCTGTTGAAGAGAGTGCCCTTCAGTTTGAAGATTATGTTCAAAGAAAATTGTAGAGCTTTCACTCTTTATTTAAGTTCAACAACTGGAAATATGGTATTGGCTGTGTAAAATAAAATAAAATTGTTTTAATGCAAGTAGTTTGTTTTGGTATTAGCAAAGAGTTTTTTTCTGCTTGTTGTTATTATTATTGTCTTGTCTTTATGCAAGGTGATCAAAGGCCCACCGAGATGACCCTCACCCATCCAATCAAAGTTAAGTACAACCACTGACATCTAAAGACTTATTTCTGCCTAGAACATGAAATAAAAGACTTGAAGATTAAATAAAGCCTGTTAAGTATTATTGTTTGTTCTGTAGAGTTGACAACATAAAGCCTGTAAAGTATTTTTGTTTGTTCTGTAGAGTTGACAACATAAAGCCTGTTAAGTATTATTGTTTGTTCTGTAGAGTTGACAACATAAAGCCTGTTAAGTATTATTGTTTGTTCTGGAGAGTTGACAACATAAAGCCTGTTAAGTATTATTGTTTGTTCTGTAGAGTTGACAACCAGTACTACTGTCTTTTATTTTTCACAATAAAACAAACTTTGTCGAGTCATTAACATTACAACTATTTTAAACTAAATAATGAACATAGGTTTTTTGTTGATCATTCTATTACAACATTGTCACTTTTAAAAAAAAGTTATATTATTCATGTACTGTTGGAAAAACTACAGTTATTGGACAAATGACAAAACTATGACTTCACGTTAGCACGAATAAAATTATTTTCTGTCTTATTTAATTTTGTGAACAGTGATTTTGCAGTTCATTTGATTAGGTTCCATGTTTATCTATCACATGAACTCAAACTGAAATCAATACTTAAGACAAAGTATTCTGATTTATGCATTAAAAATATTAAGGAGTGTTAAGTAATTAACCAGACCACATCTGTTTGAGATCCATTTTATTTGTCATATGTGTGTTTATATTACATTTTGGAAGACATACTCAGAGTCTCTGGTTTTAATTTGGTTTCTTAGTTTAGAAGGTATGTATGCCAGCTGGAAAGGTTGCACACAAATTATCTTTAGAATGATTTATGAGCGGAAAAAATAGAAATGCTAATTATTTGAACTCTCTCTAAAGTAGATATGACTCTTAATTATATAATTATTAGTAATTCCAATATTGTACACATTACCCATCCATTAGTATTTTACACAGTTGTGATCAGTTTGTTGATATCCAAAACTTTAAATAATATTTGAATAAGGCTTGAAGTTTTTTAGTGTTTAGTTTAATTTGGTGTATAATATGGTCCAGTTGGATAAACAGGTCTCTTGTTATCCTATTTTTGTTATGTTAAAGAAACTGCAAATAAATGGGTGACTAGGCAAAAAATTGATTTAGTCCACTAAAAATGATCAACAATCGAACACCAAATGTTTCGGGAGATAACAAACAAGTACTCATACAAGATGTAATGAAGTAGACAGTTATATTATTATACATTCAAACAGTAAAAATAGATTTTTAATAAAAGTTTGTTGTTTTAGCACAAAGCTACACCATGAGCTAAGTGCACCCTGTCCAGTAGGGTCAATTGAACCCCAGATTTTACCATTGTAAGATTGGGGACTTTTTAAAATGAAAGTTTATGAAATAATTTTCAACTGTCGCATGTGATTGAACTTTCATTGTTAAAATGACCCTTTTATAGTTAGCCAAATTTATAATGGTCAGAAACACATTTGCATAAGTTATCACAAAGATCAGATCATATTGCTGGTCATTCGATTGTGGTTGGTAGTTATCCAAGTTCTGAAACCTTGTTGTATTAGATTTTTTTATCAATCTGAACCATTTGTACACGGATCTTCATAACTTCTTTGTTGTAATAGAAGTGTTGCTGAACCACCATCTGGTATCTTAGAGTCGTGGTATTTTTGAGAATTGCTGAACCACCATTTGGTATTATAGAGTCGTGGTATTTTTGAGAATTGCTGAACCACCATCTGGTATCATAGAGTCGTGGTATTCTTGAGAATTGATGGACCACCATCTGGTATCTTAGAGTCGTGGTATTTTTGAGAATTGCTGAACCACCATCTGGTATCTTAGAGTCGTGGTGTTCTTGAGAATTGCTGAATTACCATCTGTTATCTCAGAGTCGTGGTATTCTTGAGAATTGCTGAACCACCATCTGGTATCTTAGAGTCGTGGTATTCTTGAGAATTGCTGAACCACCATCTGGTATCTTAGAGTCGTGGTATTCTTGAGAATTACTGAACTACCATCTGGTATCTTAGAGTCGTGGTATTCTTGAGAATTGCTGAACCACCATCTGGTATCTTAGAGTCGTGGTATTCTTGAGAATTGCTGAATTACCATCTGGTATCTTAGAGTCGTGGTATTCTTGAGATTCAAGTAAAATAACTTTCCTTTTTTTTTCTTTCTTGCACGGCCTGGATGGTTAGGATGCTCGACTCGCAATCTGCAGGTTCAAATCTCCATTACCGAACATGCTTGCCCTTTCAGCTGTGAGGATGTTATAATGCGATCAGTCAATCCCATTGTTATTTGACAAAAGAGTGGCCCAAGAATTCATGGTGAACTTTGTTGCCTTCCAAGTTAGGGCACTAGCACAGACATTACTCGAGTAGGTTTGTGTAAATTAAAGAACAAAAAAAAACACGAACCTTTTCTTTTTTTCCTCCCCCAAAACATTGCACATGAGTGTTTAGGGTTTAAAGAATATGAAAGTTTATAATTTTATTGAGAAAACTAACTTAAATGAGTAATTAGAATGCTAGTATCTTTCAGTAAAGAGCAAAAGATACTACTACTAGGAAGGAACTTAAAGGATGGTGTTGCTAGGAAACAGTTTTAAGTAAAGGATACTGTTGCTAGGAGACAGTTTCAAGATAAGGACAGTATTGCTAGGAAACAGTTTTAAGTAAAGGATACTGTTGCTAGGAGACAGTTTCAAGATAAGGACAGTATTGCTAGGAAACAGCTTGAAGTAAAGGATACTGTTGCTAGGAGACAGTTTCAAGATAAGGACAGTTTTGCTAGGGAACAGCTTGAAGTAAAGGATACTGTTGCTAGGAGACAGTTTTGCTAGGAAACAGTTTGAAGTAAAGGATACTGTTGCTAGGAAGCAACTTGAAGTGAAGGATGGTGTTGCTAGGAAGCAGCTTAAGTAAAGTATTGTGTTGCTAGGAAACAGCTTCAAGTAAAGATGGTGTTGCTAGGACAGAACAAATTTGTATTGAAATGAAGAAGACATAATTTTTTTCTTTATTTTGATTACATATCTTTCATACAATGCTACCAATAAAATTTAATGGACTGGTTATAATAAATTAATTGTGTAACACTTATGTTTAGGTCAAACTCACACTATGGTTATACATGCCTTTTAAATGAAGAATTCACTACACGCAGTGACAGGAGTTTTTATCTTAGTTATCTTGAATAAGTGAAGCTGTAGTTGCTTTTAACGTGTTAAAACATGATATAAAACGAGTAGAAAGTTTATTAAGTGAGTAATAGATCGGTGTCCCTATCTTAACTGGTCTTTATTGTGAAGTGTACTGCTTACTAGTATAATTAATTGTTTTTATTTGATGTAGAAACATTGTGCTAGTTTAACAGAAGCTATTGTTATTTAAAAGCCAGCACTAATGTATTGAAAGTGAATCAGACTACTGAAGTTGTTTCAAGATACGTTTGTAGGGTGAATACAATACAGTCAGCCGAGTTAACGAAATGGAAGTGTTCCATTAAAAGTTTCGTTTCCGAAGCGTTGCGCCCTCTATGTACATTAATTAATGCTAGGTTTTTGAAACGCGTGATTTTGTAAATACACAGTTAGGGCTGAGTAGAAGTCATTAATGTCTGTCTCACTGTTTTGTGTGCGTGTGTGTGTGTATGTTTGTTTTGTTTTTTATTGGTTCGGATCGATGTTTCTATATTGCTAATTAAAGATGTAATTAATTACATGTAATTACATTTATCTGATGTAATCATTTTGTATGATTGCTCTCCAAGAATCAGTTTAATCTGATCTGAAACTAAGTTAGCGATATTCGGGGATGAGATACCAGACAAAGCTGTGTGTCGTTCTATCTTGAAGCTGAATGTTTCATTAAAAATGTTAAACATTATAATAGCTTACTTGAGCTACAGTTTAAGCCTACTAAGATATTACAGTACAGCAAGGAGAACACATACAACAAGCTTCTCTAACAAAAACAGCACACCAAGTAGAATATCTCTAACACGAGTGATATACCAGCACAGTGTCTATAACACAAGTGTTATATAAACATGGTGTCTATAACAGGAGTGGTATGCCATCACAGTGTCTATAACACGGGTGATATACCACCAAAGTGTCTATACCACGAGTGGTACACCATCACAGTGTCTATAACAGGAGTGGTATATCACCATGGTGTATATAACAGGAGTGGTACATCACCATGGTGTCTATAACAGAGTGGTATATCACCATGGTGTCTATAACAGGAATGGTATATCACCATGGTGCCTATAACAGGAATGGCATATCACCATGGTGTCTATAACAGGAGTGGTACATCACCATGGTGTCTATAACAGGAGTGGTACATCACCATGGTGTCTATAACAGGAGTGGTATATCACCATGGTGTCTATAACAGGAGTGGTATATCACCATGGTGTCTATAACAGGAGTGGTAATCACCATGGTGTCTATAACAGGAGTGGTACATCACCATGGTGTCTATAACAGGAGTGGTATATCACCATGGTGTCTATAACAGGAGTGGTATAACAGTGGTATATCACCATGGTGTCTATAACAGGAGTGGTATATCACCATGGTGTCTTTTACAGTGGTATATTACCACTATGTCTATAACAGTTGTATATCACCATTGTGTCTATAACACGAGTGATATATCATCATTGTGTCTATAACAAAAGTGGTATATTACCACTATGTCTCCAAAAGTGGTATATTACCATGGTGTCTATAACAGTGGTATATTACCACGGTGTCTATAACACGAGTGGTATAATCACCATTATGTCTATTACACGAGTTGTATATTAACACTATGCCTATAACACGAGTGGTATATTACATAACCGCGAAGTACAATAAAACAAAATAATTTGTTACCTCGGTGTCTAATCGTTAAAGTATCCACTAATGTAACAAACACGTAGATGGTTTGTCTCCGCCATATTTACTAGGTTAGGAATGGATTGAATTCGAAGAAAAACTCAATCAGAATATTAAATAGACATTATTTTCTATAGTCAATACGCGAGTGAAAAAAAAATCACAAAATTAAACATGTTTGAAACTTACGAGTACAACAGAACAAATTCTGTTTTTGTTGTATAAAAATTGATAGTGTTAACAAACTTATTCCAGTTTTTTTACCGTTGTCTCCTCGCAACCCGTCACAATAACTGCCCAAAGGAGGGTGCGAATCCTGCTGTTGTCATGGTTACACTCCCATACACTAACATTTCCGAGGCTGTAGTGGGCAGCTCCCACCAGAAAGTTTAATTACTCCAGTGGTAATAACCTCCTATGCATGATATGGTGTGCGCGTGCAGCTTTTCAGTCTCGCGCCCGTGTCCTTTGTTGCTTGTAGCATTGTTGCTGATTTACTCGGCACTGTGCCAAGCTTTTTCAAAAACGCTTCGTAGGACGAACGTCAGAAACCGTTGTATTGTTTATTTCGAGAACGATTGAAAACTACGTTGCAGACATTGAACGTGTTTTCATGAAACGATTCGTCGGTGTTCTTTTTATTTATACATTTTTAATACAAAATTTATATGCAAATAAAGATACGTTTAATATCAAAGAAGTATAGGGTTCCAACAGCTGATTTACAGGCCTTAATATTGTAAACATAGGTAATTACAGAAATATTATTTACCAAGTTTTTTTTATCATTTAGTTGTTTTGTTATTCCTATAAAAAATGACGCGAAATCTAATATTAACTCCCATTTCTGAGCCCTGTAAACTAAATGGTATCATTAGTAAGATACTAGCCACTTTGATTTTAGGTCCTAAGGACTCGCTCTTTAAATGTTACCACTATCTTAGTTCACTCGTTTAATGACCTAGTATTTGCTTCGTTCTGAATGATGAGCTATTTCAACCCCCTCTTTCATACCGTCATATTGACTGTTAGGTGTGCTCGAAATATTGGAAATTCGTCTGCTCGACACAAACTTAAATGAAGTCATTGTGTACTGTATGTTTTTTTCAAAGAACTGGAAACAAATATATGCTAGGTACGTTTAAGTAAATATTATCAAAATACCGAAAATTTACAACTACATTTTGTCATATTTATCTAAGTGCTAGCGTAAACAGTGTTTCATTCTAGCATAAAAGCAGACGAACAAAAGCCTTTCGTAGCGCCTGCGCAAGAGGCTGTACGTAGAAGCGCATGCGTGATAATTATAGTTGAAAGATGGCGATCGTGTATTGAGGTGATGCGTCACTGTCCTTTCCCAGCCCTTGATTTCATTGCAAAAAAGCCAATCAGCGACAGCTAGGAAATTCCCCTAGCGGGTGGAACCGGTCGATGGACTAATTCATACATTAAGTCGGCCAAACGATGGAGAACCTGGCCGAGCTGGATGGCAACGAGTCGACGGGACCAGTCGAATCTGAGCCTGTACTGTTGGTTTCAGACGAAGTAGTTAGCTCGAACATGCTGGAGGCACCCGACTTACGAGCCTTTAGCGGCTCCTCTTATCTGAGTGGGCGAATGTCCCCAAGTTACTCGGTTGGAAGTAGCTACGCTACGTTGACCCCACTCCAGCCTTTACCTCCGATCTCTACGATGTCCGACAAGTTTAATCATTACGGTCAAGTGGGCAGTAATTTCAATTTAATGCAAGGAATCACCATGAACAGTTATCAGTACGACAAGTTAGGTGGTATAACTGTGATGAATATCAGCCCCACACTGGGGGCAGCGCACCCCTCACCCGTTTCCATGATGAACACTAACGGGTTTGGCCCCCTGGCAACTCACGTGGGTATCCCCTCCCCCACTTACCACCAGAATGGCCGCGAATCCCCCGAGAAAGGAATGTCCAATAATGGATACGATACCTATAGCCTGCGAGAACAGACTCGTAACCTGGAATCCCCTGAAAGTCCCCCTGTCAGTATGCATTCTCCCACAAGTCTGATGCCTACTTTGAATGGATTAAATGCTCCGGAGACACCCCCATCAGTGCACTTGACCGCTCCAGTGACCCCACCTGAACAGGAAGACATTAAACCAGTCACTATAACAACACTTTCTACTTCATCTAGTGGGGGTTCACAACCCCTCGTAGCCATCGCTACTGTAAACCTGATCAACGGTAAGGAAAATGTGGCGACGTCGATTCCCAACCAAACCTCGGAAGTTCCCGCAGCCTCTACGGAGGACGTGGAAGAGATCAACACCAAAGACGTCGCTTACAGAATAAGTGCTGAACTCAAACGTTACAGTATCCCCCAGGCCATCTTCGCTCAACGCGTACTGTGTCGGTCACAAGGAACACTCTCTGACCTGCTGCGTAACCCGAAGCCTTGGAGTAAGCTGAAGTCCGGCAGAGAGACTTTCCGGAGGATGTATAAGTGGTTGGAAGAACCCGAATTCCAGAGAATGTCGGTACTCAGACTTGCAGGTATGTTTTACAGTCCGGTAACGTATGAAGTCTTCCTTCCGTGTCATTGATTAGTTATTATTATTATCATCGGTTTTAATGATTTAAAGAATACAAGCTAAAGTTAAAGTCTTGTTATTAAACGCCATGCTTTATATCACACAATGGAACTATTTTCCTTAATAACAAAAAATAGTCCGATACATGCGCTTGTAAAACCTGTTTCCCAGTTGAGCAGCGTTGCTATGCAGGAAAGAAACACATACATACTTATTTCACCGCTAAATGATTGACCTGCTGACATTTCAACTTCAGTGATCGTATGTTTATAATAATCCTAAAAGCTTTTATATCTTAAGAAACTTAGTGGTTCTTTACCCAATATTTCTAAACTATACTATAACTTGGATGAGTCTAAGAAATACTTCGTATCAGTTTCTTTTCGTGAGAGTTGCAATGAATAGGAAATGAACGACGTGACACTTAGATGTTATAATTAACGTCATTTGTTTTATTTCTGTAGAGTACGTGACACCATCAATATCACAGTGCAACAGACATAGCCTTCATCTTAAGCCTAATTTACAGGTTTTCTAGAGCATGTGGCAAGAAAAGTTAACCCTTTATATTGAAGTATTTAAATAATTTCAAGTTAAAGTTTAGGTTAAAGAACGAAGATGTGACGTGTGAATATGATATCAAATTGTATCACCAAAATGGTCAAATTTGTTTTTGATACAATCCAAAATTGGACTGTCCCAGAAAAACAAAACAAACTATATTAGATGTTTTCATATTCACAACTGGACATATTTCAGGCTTCGAATATTCGCAAAAACCTACACACAATGGCGAAGATACTATATTGTATTGTTGAGATTTGACTGTCACGCTTATAACATATCCACAAAGAGCGAAGATACTCTATTCAAATAGTGTTTTAACTTTCACTCTTATAAACATTCACAGAGCGGGAATATACTCTAATTTAATAGTGGGATTTGACTGTCACTTTTCTAACTCCCACAAAGCGCGGAAAGCGACTTCACGGCAACAATAAAGTTTGGAATTTTACAGTCCGGCACACTAGCCACTATTTTCACGCCCGACCCCAAATCTTTCACGAATCATGCTCTTCTATAGCATAAAATAATTTATATTTTATTCGCAAGTCTAAGAACTATAAAATGTGCGTGCATGTTGTAAGATAAACAAGGATGCTTACAATATATATAATTGTAGTTTTTAGTGTAATTAGAAAACTTAATGTGTGTTTATCACGTTAGTTTGAATAAATATTAATTTCGGATCAGAGCAAGCTGCCTAGTTAGATCGAAACTCCAAAACTGACCTAGTACTGAGAATAGCTAAGTAAGTACGCTTTTCTTACTTATAAAGATTAGAATGTATTGTTTCATCAGTTGGGTAGCCTCTCTGTTAACGACATTTTCGGCCATAATCCCAATAACATATCACGATCTTTAGCCAGCTTGGGAGATTAGGTTAGTCCTAAATCCGTATACTAACTTAGCAATGCAAATATTCTCTATTATAAAATTGTTATCATAAGAGATATAAATAATATATCTAGAAATACTAAACATTCTAACCAATACTGTTAATTAAAGTAACAATAAACAAATAATAACGTACACCTCACTTACAGAACACACGAGCACTACATGGTAGCTTCAAATGTTGTAGTGGATTTAATTTTTGTTGAACAACGTAACATCAGTATAACCGTGTATCAGCAAACCCATTTAACAAAGTCTTGTGACCAATGTGACCTCATATCGGATATAAATTATCGCGATACATGTTACCGGTTAGTTGTAGAGTCACGAAGGACATTACCAAGAGTACAGATATAAAATAAGAAATTAAATGAACACCTGAATCGTACAATAAGTAGCTAAAGTAATGGTACTCTAATTAGAACAGGGATCGAAATATTAATTTCCGAGGATTTTAACTTTCCTTGAGGAATTTCATCTTTTTTAATTGGCTTTCCCGATAGGAAATACGAGGTCCTTTCCTTTTCCTTTAGTTAAGACCAATAAAAGTGTACACATTGCATGGATTAAAAAAAAAAAAACACTTCACGAGGGAATGTAATCTTCCGGATAGCTTTCTCTCGAGTTAATATAGTTTTATTTCATTATTTCTATCCCTGTAAAATATAATAATGTTTAATGTAACTAGCTAGAATATTGGTTCTGTAATTAATATATAACCATGATAAATGTAGTACGGAGAAAAACACTATATTATACGTACTATGAGGTGCATCTAACACACGTACTCCTATTTTAACCAACTTCTGTCCCTTACCAACTCACATCGAGCGTGTAAGAACAGGTCATAGATAAGGTTAAATGGCAAAAAGTAATGTAATAATATTATGAAATTGTTAATATTAACTATATATATATAGAGAGAGAGTTTAAACAAACGTAGCTAGGTTATTGTTGAAATCCCCGGCAAAACTGTGTTGTAAATATGACAAACGTAGCAAGGTTATTGTTAAATCCCCGGCAAAACTGTGTTGTAAATATGACAAACGTAGCAAGGTTATTGTTGAATCCCCGGCAACACTATGTTGTAAATATGACAAACGTAGCAAGGTTATTGTTGAAATCCCGGCAACACTGTGTTGTAAATATGTTCGGAAAAACCTCGTTAGTGAAAAATGCGAGTCAGTTTATGATCTCTGTAACGTTAAACATATTTTATTACATCTTACAAGCTGTAGGCAGTAAACGCTGTAACACATAACTTATCTGGTAATGGAAGGTTTTTATAGCTTCTAAAGTGAAAGTATGTTTTACAATTTGGATGTTTGATTAACGACGCACCCATCTAAATCCAGATATCGTGTGATTAACGACGCACATATCTAAATCCAGATATCGTGTGATTAACGACGCACCCATCTAAATCCAGATATCGTGTGATTAACGACGCACCCATCTAAATCCAGATATCGTGTGATTAACGACGCACATATCTAAATCCAGATATCGTGTGATTAACGACGCACCCATCTAAATTCAGATATCGTGTGATTAACGACGCACCCATCTAAATTCAGATATCGTGTGATTAACGACGCACCCATCTAAATTCAGATATCGTGTG